AAGCCAAGCTGCAGATGGTCTCAAGGCAGCTTCCGGGTACCAGGCGGGGTCAGATATTCCAATCAGAATCAGTGTTTAGGGGTCAGCGGTGTCCCCTGCGTTCGCCCGAGGCCAAAAGAGGATGCTAGTTCAGGGCGCTCCGTTCCGTTTTGGCGCTGTGGTGGTGCCCCCTGCGTTCGCCCTATGGTGCCCCCTGTGTTCGCGGCCGTTTCTTGTGTGTTGGCCGAGTAAGATTATCGTTGCGCTGCGTAAAGTAGAAGAGAATCATTATATTATCCCACGCATATGGATACGGCTATGGGGAGTTTTGGTATGGGACCACAGTTGTTAGTTTTGGGTTTTATTGGGTGGCCCAAACCAGGTCTTTTCAACCCAAGCGAGAGCTTCATTGGGTTGAAAATATTAAATGGAGCCTTGTCAGGGGCTTGTTTTCCAACCGAGGGTTTTGGGTTTGTGCGACAGCAGGAAGCATACCTTCGAGTCGTGAAGCTGCCCAAGATGGAACTTGCAACAGCGGAAGTGTCCAAGATGAAGAGCAGTATCGCATCTTATCTGAGTTGGTTGTGGGATGATGCTTGCTACTGCTAAAGACAATGATCTGATCTGCGAGTCCCAGTGAACATGTTTGGGCATGCTTCATGCTCGCTGGCGTTCTTAAACTCTTGTTGAGGAAGATTGACTTGCGCTAATTGAGGCAGCTGAGCTGGCATGCTCCCGAGAGACTATTTCCATCCTTGGGTTCGCAGACATGAACGTGCCAAAGTGCAGGCAGAAGGAGGTTTGCCAGAGCATTTGCAATGGGATCGCTGCCATCAATGCAGATGGCCCAGCCGAGCAAAATGCGACCCTGCTGTTGCTGCCAGACCTTCCCCGCGACTCGAGTCCCAGAGGGTTGTGGGACGAAGAAGAAAGGGTGTTCGAAGCCTTGTTTTCCTTGCAGCAACACGTGGAGACAAGATTCGTTGAATGCTTCACACGTGAGAAAAAGGGCGAGGTGAAATCCAATGCGAGGCGTTTCTCTATGGGGAGAGTTGTGTGCAACAGTGCTTCCATGGACGATTGCATTTGGATGAGTGGAGAGCTCGCAATGTATGGACGACCCGTGGGAGCTGCTGAGGTAGAAACCGGAGCACCGACGAGTGTGCTCCCGAAGCAGAGCGAGCTCTTGCTGCCTGAGTCCGCGAGTACCAGCCAGGACTTGAGATTGTCGGAGAAACCGAAACCATCTCCGGAACAGACCTCAGCACAGAAAGGAATCGCGCGAGCAAAGGCACTCATTGAGGCAGCCCTCAGGGGCGTGAACCCACCGGGCCCAGTCTTGGTGATCAACCTCACCGGGTACGTCGAAGAAGTGGGGGCAGCTGTGTAACGGTTTGATTCAGTGTGCTTTGAGCTTTGGCTTGAATTCCAGGCCGTTGTTCGTGATTCAGGATTTCACTGCTCAGGTCTTGGACCTGCGACAGCAGGGTGCCTTGTCAGGGGATGGCCTCAAGGGTTTCAACTTGAAAAAGCTCTTCTACTTGAGCTTGCACACGATTGATGTGGACAACAACTTCGCCTATGCACAGACACGTGTCCTGAGAGAGGTGATGGACCGTTGGCTTGACAAACAGATCGTCTATGGTGGCCTCGCTTTCAAAGACACCAACACAGGGCTTACAGCAGAGGATACCTAGTTCGATCATGTTTTTAATTTCCAGTTCAGTGTTGCGTAGAGAGTTTAAGTTCAATCTGATGATATTTGACCAGAGGAGTTGGACCGAATCCCGGGATCCGCCATTCTGAAATCTCCTGATGCCTTGAGGCTGGAAGTCACGGTTAGAGATGGCACCATCATAGACATCCATCCTGATCATAAGAAGAAATGGTCTCAGACGGCATATGCTGGCGAGTTTGAAAGACTGGCCAAGCAGCATGCTGAGGGTGTGAGAGATCTGCTGAAGCCTTGCTTGGAGCGAACAGCTGCTCAAGAGCCAGCTCAAGCATCGACGGCCAACGACACTGAGGACACAGGCTGTGCTGCAGCCAGCGCAGCCGGCGAGAACCTAGCTCTCAAAGCCTATGAGTCTTTTGAGGCCCTCAATGGCGAGGACGAGATCAAGGACCGCGTGAACTCCGAAGTCACCGGGGTTGAGATCTTGAAGAGCAAGGACAAGCTGTACCTCATGAGTGAGAAGGCCCGCGTGCTTGGCAAGCACACGATTCTGGGTGGCTTTGGCACCGGCAAGCTTTTTGAGCTCAAAAGAAAGATTTGAATATTTTCTAGATTCTGAGTTCAAGAAGTGGCCACTTTTTCTTTCGTGTTCTATTCTTGCCAGAGGTTTGTGCCATGCACGGAGCAGTGCGACGGAGTGGATGTGAAATGGGCCAATGGAGACAAAACCCTGGTGCAGGCAGAGATGGCAAGCATCTCCCCCCAGAGTGGCGCCAATGTTTGCGAAGTCATGACACTTTACAGGTATCTCACCCTGCTTGAACGATCTAAGAAGATCAGCAAGTATGAGTTGTCGTACTCCAAGTGCACGCGATCCGCCGCTTCGGGAAGCTCCGGTCCTTCAGATGCCTTCAATATCGACATCTCCGAGCCCCACAAGTTTCGAGTGCTCCCGAACTTAGAGCAGAAGATGACGTGTAAGTCTTTCTTCCACAACATGATCAAGCAGGTGGAGGAATCCGATGCGATTTGCTCATCTTTCTTTGGAGGTTCGAGCGGATCCATGGAGTCAGCAAGATCCAAAAACCTTACGTTGCACTGACCGGAGCATTGAAGCTGGAGCCAGGCAAACCTGTGGCTCTGTGACATCCCATCCAGATCATGTCTGGAGACCTTTTGATTCTATTCTCTGACCAAGGTTTCTCAGAGGATCCATGTAAGATTTAGTTTGATGCCACGATATCATAAAGGTGGTGGTACTATCCGGTAGATGTATTGGAAGGGTCCTTGGTCAGGCTGTTGTCTCGAGCACTCGCGCCAATCTTCCGAAGATAGGTCGAAAATATGTGTGTTTGGCATTGGGCATGATAACCTGTCGCCTTGTGCTGATTGTTGACGAAACAGCAACTCTTGGAGCATGAGCACCTCCCATCATTTCTATTTCCAGGCAGACTTTTTTGGATCACGAATGTAGAGAATTGTATCGTGTGAGCACGATGGGGGATCAAAGGGATGATGTGCGGAGGCTTATGAACCAGCAGCTGGAAGACCAGATGTTTGCGAATTATGGCGTAGATGCTAGGTGGAGGACTCCACCGCCAAAGGCGACCTCTCCAAGCTCCAGCGTGGGGCAGGGAGGTGTTTTGCGCCCGACAGCACCTTCGCAGCCAGCTGCCGGGTTTCAGTTTACCATGATGGCGAACTTTGATATGCCAACGGGGAGCTCAGCAGGCACTGTGGCTATCAACACAGCCTTTCGTGTGCAAAGCTCACAAGGCTTGGGCACGGACACACGTCATTGTGCATTGCACTTATTGAATTAATCTATAAGACCTATTTTTAATTATATCCTAAACTTCAGACCTTGCTACTCGATGTATTGTGTTCACACCAGGCAGTTCGCCCGTCGCCGACGAACCCGTCACCTTCATTCCGAGCAGTTTCAAAGGCCTGAGAATTACATTGATGCCGCAGGAATCTCGCCGCTAGCCTCTACTGCCAGGACCCAACGATGAGAAGATCAAGAAGAATCAGCTCGCGATCATGCCCCGTGAAGGTCTGACCAGCACCAAATGGAACTTAGCACAATCAAGCCACTGGCCTTTCTGCCAGGACCCGACGACGAGAAAATCAAGAAGAATCAGCTCGCGATCATGCCCCGTGAAGGTCTGACCAGCACCAAGTGGAACTTAGTAACTTAGTACAATCAAGCCACTGGCCTTTCTGCCAGGACCCAACGATGAGAAGATCAAGAAGAAGCAGCTCGAGATCATGCCCCGTGAAGGTTTGGCCAGCACCAAGTGGAACTTAGCATAATCAATCACTGGCCTTTCTGCCAGGACCCCGCGATGAGAACATCAAGAAGAAGCAGCTCGCGACCGCACCCCGTGAAGGTCTGGCCAGCACCAATTGGAACCTAAAGCCACTGCCCTCTCTGCCAGGACCCGACCATGAGGTGACGGACACGGAGATGAGCCGGCAGCTAGCTGAAGGCCCACTCGGCACCAAATTCGACACCTTCGTAGCCGAACCTTGAAACGACCCAAAACCTTAAATCCTAAAACCCTTGAACCTTCACCCTGAAGCCTAAAGCCCGAAACCCCGAAAAAATTGAAACCCGAAAATCCTTAAAATTCTTCAAAGCCCAGAGTCCCTAAAACCCTACGACCCTTAATCGTCCAACCAGGCACTCCCGAGAAGGAGCCGCAGGCGATGCATCCAGGCCTGCGGCCGCGCGAAGGGTTTAGGGTTTTGGGGTTTAGGGCTCTAGGGTTTTCGGGTTTTTTGGGTTTAGGGTTTAGGGGTTGTGCGGTTTAAGGCTTTAGCGTTTTTAGGGTTTAAGGTCTGAAGGGTTTTGGGGTTTTAGGGCTTTAGGGGGTTTACGGGTTTGGGGATTTGAGGTTTTACGGCTGTAGGGTTTAGGGGTTTAAGGCATTTAGAGGTTTCGCGGTGAGGGTTTAGAGGATAGGAGGGCTTCAAATCAAAGATTTTAGGGGCCTATAGGTTTCAGGGTTCTAGCGCGCTCTTGCGGTGAAGACCCTCTCTTAAAGGGGGCTTTAAGGTTTTAGTTTCGCCTCCGCCCTGAATCCAGGTGCACTTCGGCGAGCTCCCCACTTGCAGATCGAGGCCACCGGACTCTAACTTATGCAATGTCGGGTTTAGGGTTTAAAGGGTTCGCTGGCACTGTGCGCATTCAGGACACACCGTCTCCAGCAAGCACGGAGAAGGACTGTGCATGTGATGCATTCTGTCTTAACTTTTGGGGCTTCGGATCGGCTTTGAGGCGTCATGCCCCTTTTGTTTGCAGGAGCGGCAGAAAGCCCCATCGCTCGGAAGACCGTCCAGTATGCTGTTTGCATCGGAACCAGAGGACCAAGACGAAGGCTTGAAAAAAAAGCCTGCTGCTTCCACTTCTACTTCAAGTAATCCAGCCGTGATCGTGAAGAAGGGTGCCGCCAAGAATGCTGCAGTGAAGAAGAAGAGTGCAACTAAAGTCCACAAGAAGCCAGCCATGCAAAAGCCGAAGGAGAAACCGTCAGTGGAGCCGCTGTCAGACCCAAAAGGTGTTGCCGAGGACAAGCAGCAGGAGGAGGAGGAGCTGGAGGAAGAGAGCCCAACGGTAGACGAGCCCGTGCCAGTGTGGAAGGCACGGAATCGGAAGCACTTATTCAGGGCTTGGCATCATATACTGGGTCAACATATGATAATTGTGCGTGTGTGTGTGTGTGTGTGTGTGTGGGGGCTTGGCTAGTTGCTATTTGCCAGGTCAAGGTGTTCACACGCCGAGATGGGACCACTTACAAGATCTTTGTTTCCCCAGACGACAAGTCTTACAAGACAAAGAAAAAGGCACTTGAGAACGGCTTCGACGAGGAGACTGCGATTTACGAAGAGCAGTGAGCAAGGATTGGCAATCAAGGCTCATGACAATGATGCCTGGAGTTCGGAGCGAAGAAAAGATTTTGATTGTCGTGTGTTGCGTCAGCCGTTCGCTTCTCGCCCATGCAGTCTTCTCTGAAGCTGTCGAGTTGGATTTTTCTTAGGCTTTGCCCTGCTACCTTAAACCCTCCCTTTCCCTACAAACCCTACACAACCCTAAACCCTAGTACGGCTCAAACCTGCTGCGCTAAACCGCGGTGCTAAAAAAAAACACTTAACCCTAATGTTCCAAAACACAAGCCCTAAACTTCCCTAAACCTTAATTACGGCTCAAACCTGATTCCGGCTCAACAACTAAAACATGAAACTGTTCAAGGACTTGCTCGTGAAACGACGGCTCAAACGGCTTCTGCAACTCAAGTGTTTCTCGCCAAACTTGGGTCGTTCAGTACGGGCCAGTTTCAAAACACCCGCCCTCACGAAAACACCAAGTCCAAAGATAGTTCATTTGAATCAACTGTTGCATGACTCGTGCTGTGCCTTGTTCCCTGTGCAGCGCACTGCTAAAGACCTCAAGCCGTGGCAACAACCTGACTCCCACCATGACGTCAAAGCGCTGTGGCGCCATCACAGTGCGCTGAAGGCGATTAGGCGCGAGCGCATAGCTGTAGGCGTACGCTCCAGGCTCACGCAAGCTTTCCGGATCCTTAGAGCACATGCCAGACTGCAGGTTTGCCAGAAGGTATTGCGTAAGCGTGGCCGTGAGCGTCGCAAACAACTGCTTTTGACTTCATTGCATAGGGCTGAGGCTGCAGCTGCTGTCGGGGACATGTATAAGCTGTTTCAAGAGATTCGCCGACTTGCCCCGAAATCCCCCAAAGAACGCATCCAAATTCGCAGTCCCGATGGCCGCATCCTTAGTGAGCACGATGAACTTCAGGAGATTTTGAAGTATTTCAAAGGTGTCTTTTGTCGGGATGCACATGTAGCTCCCTCCGACCTTCAGTTGACCCAGCAGTTTGCAATCAGTGACGTTGAAGTTCAGAACAGCATCAGCAAACTTGCCACTGGAAAGGCTGTTCCAACTGGGGCTGTGCCGCCGGAGGTATGGAAGGTTTGCATGCCAGAGCTTCTACCTCACATACAACGACTTTTTGCGCAACAACTTCAGGGTAGACTGAACCTGCCGTCCACATGGACGGACTGCCACTTGTTTCTGCTCCCTAAACCCGCTAAACCCACGAAAATTCCATCCAGCCTCAGACCTATCGCTCTGCAATGCCCACTGGGTAAATGTCTTGCACGTGTTATACAAAGACGGCTTCTTGAGCACATATTGCCTGCACTGGACAACACTGCACAGTTTGCATACCTTCCAGGTCGGAGCACGCATACGGCGTTGTCTTTGATCGCAAGTCATTGTCAGCATGTTCGCTCACATTTGATCAGCTCTCGGATCGAGGTCAGAGATCGCAAACTAGGCAAAACTGCTAGCATCATGGGTGCTGCAATGCTGTCAGTCGATCTGAGTCTGGCTTTCGATCAGGTCAGCCACCAGTATTTGCGAGCAGCACTCGAATTCTTGAGCGTTGACCCAGACATGATCACGCTCATTTTATCCATACACAGAGCTACGTATCATGTGCAACACGGGCAAGAATCTTCGTGCTTTGATATTTGCAACGGCATAAGGCAGGGGTGCACGCTCTCGCCGCTGTTATGGGTCTGCATCACTCATTACATGTTGCACAGGTTTAGCCTCAAGGCAGGGACAACAGCTCGTGACAGTCTAGTGCTTTTCGCTGATGATTTTATCTCGAAATTTATCCTGCGTGACATGACTGACGTGCAAGCCCTCGCCACAAACATCCGGTACCTTTTCGAAACTTTGGGTGAGGCCTGTATGACTGTTAATCCCGAAAAATCCAAGCTACACATCAAGGCTGCGGGAGTTCCGTTGAAAAAGTGGCTGAGCAAACACACCGTCACCCACAAAGGGGTCAAGTGCCTGGCCCTACGCACACCTTTTGACACGCTGTATCTGCCTCTTTGTGATCAGATGACTTACTTAGGGGCCGTGATCTCTTACGCTGCCTTCGAAGATCAATCTGCTGAGCACCGCATTAGCAGTGCTCAAGCGAATGTGTCCAGGCTGGCAAGGCACTTATTCACGCAACATGGACTCAGCTTGAGGCTGCGTCTGCGCTTGTTCATGACTTGTGTAAGAGCGTCCCTGCTGTATGGCATCCCGTCAATCGGAGTCACTGCTAAAAGCCTTCGCCTTATGCAGAGATTCGAAGCCAAGCACGTCAGAAGGTTAGCCAGGGCCCCAGCGCATTTGACGCATGAGAGAACGCAGGACCTTTACGCGAGGCTTGGTCTCACTTCTTTACAAGACGCGCTGCTTGCCCGTGCACAGAGCAGCGTTGACTCTTTTCAGAAGCCGTATCAGTTTCCGTGGAAAGGGGACCTGCGTAATTGGCAAGTGAAAAAGCTTGACGAACTTAAAGAATGCATACAACTCAGTCAGTCAACTACACTGACTCAGACTGTGTCAGAGGGGGTTCCGTGCCCGGTCTGCGGCGTCTACTTTGACACCCAGCATGCCATGCGTGCACATGCCACGCAGAAGCATTCTATGATCTTTACTGTTCAGCCAGGCACTGCCATGAGTCAAACGCTTGATCCTCGTAAGCACAGTATGGGCGGCATGCCCACATGTCGCCACTGCAAAAAGCCTTTTAAGAAGTGGGCTGGCCTTCGAGACCACATCCTGAATGCTTGCAGTGTCTGGAGCGGCATTGCCACTCGTCAAGTTGACTCAGTCCCTGAGCTCACGTTGCCACAAGCACCAGCTGCTTCGACTGCCTCAACCCCGAACCCTGCTGACTCGACCCCAGTTTCTGCTCAAGGTCCTGATGACCCTACTGCCTCAGCTGTTGCCAACATTTCGGAGCATCGACAAGCTGCTGGTGCGGATTGGGTTTCATTTGCAGAAGCGCTTGGGCATCAGCTTAAGGACACCTGCATGTTCTGCACGCAGTGGTGCGCAAAAGGTGGCGGAGTCAAGCAACATATCCGCCGCACTCACCCTGAGCATTGGCATCGTAACGAAGACGTTCTCTTCCGTCTGAAACAACATTACCGGCTCAAATACAAAGGACGTTGTCGGGCTTGTGCGTTTGAACCTTCGGGCACCCAAGCAGGCGCCTTACACACCCCCAAATGCCCAGCATATTACCAGGCTTGCCTATTACACGTGATTGTTCAGGCACAGCATGGAGCCCACTCTGGCGGAGAGGGAGGTGGCCAACGTCTTCGGTTCCTCGATGCCGGCCATTGCAGCAGCCAAATCGCAGCGCAGGGATCCGGACTCAAGCCCGGAGAAGTCGAAGTTCCTCAAGACCGATCGAGCCAAGGGAGTTCGAGGCAAGGGATTGGGAGGTCGCAAGCCGGCCCAGACCAGGGCCACGGGATCCCAACAGCAGCAACAGCAGGAGACACTGAGCGAGGAAACCATAGCGGAGCTCCTAGCCATCCTGACCCGACTGGCCCTCAAACACGAGGACATCTTGGCAGCAGTGCAGGCGGACAGCTGCTTCATGATGTATCTGGACACATCCGGCGACCTCTCCATCACGACCAATCTGTACCAGATCACACAAGCTTGGCAGACCAAAAAGCGGGACACCCCGGAGCTGCTCACGCAAAGTCTTCGGGTCACTCTTCTGACGGCACTGTTCATGGAGCTTCGGGAGCGCATGAACATGGCCCTGCTGGCAGAAAAACGCGAAGTGCTCGCCAAGCATCAGTGGATCAGCACCTCCGACCCGGCGACCTGGAATTACCAAAAGTGGGATCCGACGACCGAAGCCGCGGTCGTGGACGCGGCAAAGGTCGGCGTGCCGCATCAGGAGGCCATAGAGGTCATCCAGAAGATCATCCAGCTAGTTCCGTCCCTCCTTGTTCAAAAGTTTCACAGCACGCGACCCCAGGCTGCCGAATATCAATCCAATGTCCTCCCGTTTATGCTCATGATCAGCAATCGAGGCGAGAAGGCGCAAGACCTCTACAACCTCTTTCAAAAGATCTCCGACCTGAGTGCACTGCGGCTCATCGGGGCGCGACTCCGTCCTCATCGCCAACGCCGTCAGCCATTGGCGCTGACGCTGGAGGACGTTGCAGCCGAGCTCCTGAAATCATCCAACCGAGACCGCCAGCCGGAGGGCGAGCTTTGAATGCATGGCCAACAGGTACACCTGCATGTCCAGTGTTGTTCAATCCAGGACAGATCTGTTACATGAACTCCGTCATCACTCTATTTTCATGGCTTGTGCAGGCATTTGCGATGGACCTGCCGTCGCCATACGGCGTGATGAAAACGGCTTTTGGGACCATCAAGGCTGGCCTAAAACTCACCATCACCAACTGCCTTCCTTGGCAGACCGTGATCCGGCAGTGGTTTCGTGAAATGCAAACTGACCTTCATGCGCAGCAGGATGCAGTAGCATTTGCCGAGTTTTTGCTACGCCAAGCAGACATCCCAGCTTTCCGGGGCACTTGGGAGGCCAGAACCTATGAACGGATCTTGAGTGACTCAGGTGTTTTGCCTATTCGACTTGAGCTACGTACAGATCTTCAGGCCTGCATTGATTACTGGCATGAGCAGGCTGTGCGCTTCATCCAGGCACTGCGTGTGCAGCCCGCATTGCTCTTACTGCAAATTTCGCGTTTTGACCCGGAGGATCCACTTTGCAAATATGATGCACCGCTTTTGATTGAGGCAGGCCAAGTCATCACCATGCCGTGTTTCGACGATGCACACAGCATCATACGCGTGAGATACAGAGTTGCCGGTATGATTTACCACTGTGGACCCACCATCCATGCAGGTCATTACCAGACAGTTTTGTGCACCTTGCGGGCGGCTGAGGGCAAAGCATCCGGGTACCAACTACATGTCACAGATGATGGTTGTAAACCCCGTAAGCCTAAACCCCAAGACCTTCAGCACCTGTCCACCGGAGCCTACCTCATAGGCGCCGTACGCTTAGATTGAGCACCTCTTGCGAAGCGCGCCGCATCCCGACAAAGAGTCGTTGCAGGCGCTAGCAGTTAATTCAAGTGCAATCATGTTTTCTCGAGTGTTCACCACTGTGCTGCACATGCATTTCTGCGGTTTGTGAGCTTTCTTTCTCGGGCAGCGCTTATGTTCCCTACAAGGCCGCCTGATGTTGCACCTGAGTTATGGCAGCTAGAACTGCCGAGCATACTTGGGCTTGCACATCCGGATTGTCACGACGACGATGATGATGATGACGATGAGCCATTGATTCCCAGGAGTCCTCGTCAGGCACAGTCGCGAACTGTTGAGCTGGTGTCGATCTTCGATGCCATACCGTGTGATTCAACGCATTGCAGCTCACTTCGAAATCAGGTGATTAAATCCTTCACTGCTGGCATGTGCACCATGGGCCGGTCCAGTGTACGACTTAACACCATGCATCATCCTGACTTCGTGCGACTGGTTTGTGCCATGATCCGTGATGTATGGCCGGAGCATTACTTCACCAGTTTTACAGTTGTGGAGGGCTCCACTTGCAGCTGGCACCGTGACCGGAACAACGCATCTGGATTGAATTTGGTCATTCCTCTCACTTTCTTCCGACAAGGTGCGCTGTATATAGAATCTCCTGAAGCTCCATGGGTCACCATTGCTGGGGAGACTCGAAGAGCTACCAGGGCTGATTTCACTATGGGGCCCATTGCATTTGATGCTCACAATCTCTCGCATTGTGCCGAAGTTTCCGAGGATCGTCGCATTGTTTGCATTGCCTACTGCCTGCGAGGAATCCAACGTTTGAGCGCAGAGCACTACAGCTTTCTGTGTGACATGGGATTCAATGCTCCACTTCTTGACTTGAGGCCAGGGGACATTTCTGAAACCATCGTTACCGATGGCTTTCCTGACCTGCGCTACGCTTGAGTATACACTGTCTCTCATGAGTTGGTGTACCGTGAGAATTTCGCAATCTAGCCGCAGATATGCCCTACGACTCATTGCGAGCTTCGGTTAGCAGTCCTCGCTGGACGCAGGAGGCTGCTATTGGTGTCGGGCACTGCTACGGCCACCGTTGCTTGCATCGTTGCAGTTGGGACGCCGATTGTAACACGAATGACGGGGGCATTACTTCACCATGTTTTCCGTAGCACACGTTCTTTTCTAGTTGTGATCATCGCTGTTCTTCGGGACGAATGATCTTACGTACTGCTGAATGCCAGCAGTCTGTGCTTTGGTCTACGGACCGGCAGACACGGATGCATAGCAGCTGCTCGCAGCCGGGCACTCAAAGTGCCTGTCCAAGTGTCGCCCCGCAAAGAGTTAGCTTTGTGCCGAGTTTGTACGACAGCTCCGCCGTCTGACTCTGCGTTCGGAAAGGAAAAAGTGAGTTTTTGAGAATCTGGGTTTTGTTTTCGTGTGCCTTTATCACGAAAACATTTTCCGTATTTCAACAGATTTATGTCATGTAATTTCACGTGGGGGGGTTGTGCACACGGATTTTCATTTTCTCATTTTGCATCTCTTTACGAAGATGCCTTGAGAATCTGTGTCGTGTGCCTGCAGTCGTGTGGCTCTGCTGCAGTCACCGTGAAATTTTCTTTAACCCACCCACCCACTCCTAGGGGCAGATTGAGGTTGCGAAATGCAACTTCATTGTTGCAAGGTGTGTATCTCCTTGCGGTGGCCTCCTCTTTTCACACAACCTTTACCGGCGAGCTTCGCTGTCAAAACATTGGTCGCGCGCGGTAGTCTTGGTTCTTCAGTTGCAACATGTGCTTCGCTGATTGATGGGCATTTATATTTGCGACGGTGATATATCTCTGATTTTCCCCACATATCAATTGGGGAATATTCGTCCAACTGTTTCAGTTGGTGTTCCGGCAGCTTCGAAACAACTCTCGGAAGGTGATTCGGCTGTGATTCGGGTGTGATGTGGCTGTGATTCGATTGTGGTTCGGCTGCGATTCTGACAAAACGGAGCGGCGACTCCTCGGCCTGACACAGGCGGACTGGCGATGTCTCAGATTCACACAAGCTGGTCGTGTTCTCAGGGCTTGGACACGATCAGATCGGAGATTTTTCCCAGAGCATGAAACAACTAGATCCACGATTTCTCCGAGCATGGAACAAGATCGGCGATTTCCCAAAGGCAGTGATACGGGTGTGATCCGGCTGCTATATAGCTGTGATTTGGCTGTGACTTGACTGTGATTCGGCTGTGATCCGGCTAAGCCATCGATTGCTCGTCTTGCTGAAAAGCAGTTCACCTTTCTGTGGCAGGTGTCAAGCTCCTGGACATCTGAGAAGCTGCTAATATGGAGCTCACCTCTTCTAGCCGGTTCTAAACTCCTGGACATCTTAGTTTCAGTGCATATTTCTGAAGAAAGTGTTTGAAAACATTTTTCATCGGCTATATCTCAGAGATGGACACAAGCAGCTCGGCGATTTCTCAGAGCTTGAAACAAGTGCATTCACGATGTCTCAGAGCTTAAAACAAGTGGATCGGCGATTTCTCAGAGCATGAAACAAGTGGACCGGCGACTTCTCAAAGGCTCTGATTCGGTGATGTGGCAGCGGCGACTCCTCGGCCTGACATAGGCGGACTGGCGATGTCTCAGATATTGACACAAGCTGGTCGGGTTCTCAGGGCTTGCGCACGATCAGATCGGAGATTTTTCGCAGAGCATTAAATAAGTACATCCACGATTTCTCAGAGCATGGAACAAGATCGGCGATTTCCCAAAGGCAGTGATACGGGTGTGATCCGGCTGCTATATAGCTGTGATTTGGCTGTGACTCGACTGTGATTCGGCTGTGATCCGGCTAAGCCATCGATTGCTCGTCTTGCTGAAAAGCAGTTCACCTTTCTGTGGCAGGTGTCAAGCTCCTGGACATCTGAGAAGCTGCTAATATGGAGCTCACCTCTTCTAGCCGGTTCTAAACTCCTGGACATCTTAGTTCCAGTGCATATTTCTGAAGAAAGTGTTTGAGAACATTTTTCATCGGCTATATCTCAGAAATGGACACAAGCAGCTCGGCGATTTCTCAGAGCTTGAGACAAATGCATTCACGATGTCTCAGAGCTTAAAACAAGTGGATCGGCGAATTCTCAAAGGCTCTGATTCGGTGATGTGGCTGTGATTCGGCTGTGATTCGGCTGTGATGCGGCTGTGTGGCTTTGACGTGGTTGCAAGTCGGCTGTGACGTGGCCTGGTTCGGCTCTGATCTGAGCCTGAAACAAATGGATCGGCGATGTATTTCAAGCTGTGATCTGGCTGTGGTGTGGCTGATTCGGCTGTGATTCTGAAACAAGCGGGTCGACGAGTTCTCACAGCTTCAGTGCGATTTCTCATCGGCAATATCCCAGAGACTGAGATTCGGCTGTGAGTCAGCTGTCTTGTGGCAATGATTCGGCTGTCATGTGGCCGTGACTCGGTTGTGATCCTGTGATGTGGCTGTGATTCGGAGGGTGA